CATTACCAAATATGAGTGTCAGAAACTAGGCCGATGGCAGTGTCAGAAACTACAACACAAGAAATTTTAAGTGTCAGAAACTGGGTCTTCAAACATCACTTTTTAAATCATTAATTAAAATTACTAATTCGCTTCAAATAATTATATCGCGTATATGAGTTTTTCTAGAAACTCTGAACTTGTTTATAGTATAAAAATTATTTATTCTAATTAAATATTATTTTAGTTATCGTAATATAATTTCAGCTGTCACTCTGGGCCTGTCAGAAACTGGGCCTTTTACCTAAGTTTTAAAATTAGAAAAGATTGTCGAATTTTAACTAGAAAATTATTAAAAATACAGTGTGATGAATAAATATAGAATAAAAGCAACTTTTCCGTTTTGCAATAAGAAAGAAGAAGGCGCATATAAAAAAGTCAATAACTGAGATACATCGATTAATCGATCACTTACCGGCCCAGGTTCGTTATGATGAGGCTACTTAAATTCTCCATGAAATACGATCGACCCGTTCTATTTTCCTGTTTTCTACATCCGGTCGCCTTAAGAGGTAAACGGCGGGTGCAAGCGGAAGGTAGGAACCCGTTAAAAACCTGGAAAGACAGCCGTGATTAATTTAGGTGCTTTCGAATTCCTTTTGGACGTTGCTAAATGAAACTTGTCGTCGCAGTTAATGATCCACGAAATTGGGAAAGGTAAGACCTTGATCCCGTTCACAAGGTTGCTTTTCCGACAGTTCTATACACACGTAGATATTTACACACACATTCGTTACATCGACCCGGAAAAAGTCCTTTCGTTAAACGAAAAGAAATTGAAAGCATTTACATTTTTACGTATGCACTTTCTCAAAAATGCCAAAGGGACTTTAAACCAATCTTAGCAAAAATAACAGCAGACAGTAAGACGACACTAACGTAAAAAAATTAAATTACCGCAAACAGAGCTTTACAATATTTGAAACTATTAATGCTTGAGGGTGATACAAAATTATGACAATAACAAATTATTGACGGTGTATCGCCATCTATTGATATTTACTGCTACTGTGGATATGTTTCAACTTCCCAACACAATCTAAGACACTGCATATATACGACCCGTAGGAAAAATTTCCATTGAAGTTCAATGGGAATCAATGGAAAATTTGTAAATTCCATTCAAAACCATTTGGCATAAATGGAAAAATAATTGTTTCCATTTACAATATAATTCCTGGCCACATATACTATTAGCCTTTTTCGATACAGTTTTTGCTTGCTCAGGTGCAAGGGTATATTGCCAATTAGGTGGTAGAAAATCAATAATCTAGTTGCGTGCATGTTGGGGGTACGTGAGGGACCACCACGGCAGTAGAGTGAGAGACAAACAAGGTGGTAAGATGTTTGATTAAAACGTTATATTTCATTTGGACGTTTTTGCTCAAAAAAAACGGAAGACGTATTTATGGTGATTACACGAAGACGTATGTATTTTGGAAGACGCGATACATTGAATATTGTATATAAGTTGTATATATTTAGTTCCTGTTTGTTACTCGTTTTGCTGTTTGCTGTTTATGTTCATTATTATGATTATTATATATGTATTCAACTACCCGGAGCCTTTTATTAAACAACCCCTAGACAAGCGAAAAAGCCTACATTAGAAGCACTGTTTGATAATTTTGAACCATGCCAGAATATAGAGGAGGCCGAAGTCATCTGTGAGAGTGATGTAGTTTTATCAGAAGCAAGTGAAAAAAAATCTAAACAGTGCTGAAAAGCCAGACATTCAGGCACGTGCCTTGATTCAGGTACCTGAAGAACCAAATTCTCAACAAAATAATATGGATTATGGAAAAAAGCATGCTGACGAAGTTCCAATGGAACGCAATGGAATTTCCATTGAGTTCGGGAATGGGAATCCCATTGGCAATTCTCCATTTATTACCATTATTTATTATCTGTGGTAATTTAATGACATTGTTTTAATGGAAATTGAACGGAAATTTTCCCTACGGGTAGGGCACCTTCTCAGGCTTGAAGGTCTAGTCAGAGACATATTAGAGGCAGAAACAGGAGTACAGGTAGATTACTCTTCACAAATCGTTGAAGATGTGGGAAGTTCTAGTTTTAGGGAAATGCAAAAAGTAGAGGTGCGTGTCCAATGAGTTTTGGGACCTACGACTTCATGATGATGACATAGATCAAATGGAGCCGTATATTGTTTACCTTACCTTAGGAGTATTGTGGGATTTTCGGTACAACCCAAGGCGTGCAAAAATCTGGTTCTTTGCAAGGTAACATTAGATGAAACGTATTGCTGGAATACAAAATTCCAATCGTCTTCGCTACCGTTTCTTAATGCTCCACAAAGAACGTTTTGTTCCAATGTAGCTGTAAGAGGTGATACACCTGTGTCTTCCCATACGCGCAAGGCTTCCAATGCATCCCGTCGGCATTTTTCCAGACCATACTTGCATGCCCAATTTACGACATTTGGTCGATGAAATTTTGTAACGTGGCTGTCAGTGTCCCTTTCAAGTATTCCCACTTCATCATAAGCAACTTCCAAAAGTGAAGCGACGTGTTTCTAAAAAAACAATAAATGTAATGCATACGCACTTATAATTTCGTTAAAATTTTAATATGTTGTGATCGTAATCAGTTGAATTAGAGTATTAAGTTCGGTTAGATTAGGATCATAAGGTACGGTAGACAAAGATAACATGAAACAAGTGGGAAAGGAAGGAAAACCTACGGATACTGATTCAAAGCCTACCTTAAAGTCATCGTATTGGTCTGTGGCTGTCAAAACCGTGTCTACATAATCCAAATCAGTTAAGAATGCATAATAAGGAATGTAGTCCGTATCCCTGCTAAAAAGACTCATCAGGTTGAGTGGAATTTCATATCTTAAGCGGCCAGATCTGGCGAGATTGAAAGAGTCGTCAATCAGCTGTGCCCTACTTGTTTTCGAAATTTGACTGTAATCGTTGCTGTTCAAGTAATCGGTCAGCAATCTCCAATTTCTCTCATCGTAGTTCACGCGGTAATAACCTGGAAAGAAACGATCACCAAACGAATGATTAGGAAGAAGCCATGTAGATTTCATGAAAAAACTCATTTTATAGACATAAAATAGCGACTAACCGAAGTGTTATACCCCCATCAACTGCTAAGGTCGTACACCACCAATTAACAGCAAAATTACAATAGTACATGGAGTAAGTCAAATTGCAAATGTGAAGTTGTTTTACCTCTTTCTCCTTTGTTGACTAGGAGCCACTCACCCGGAACCAAATTAAGATTTTTGACCGCATTTTGTTCCGTCAAGAAAAATTCAATGTTAAAGTTTTGAAAGTTGTAGTTGCTTCTCGTTGCAGTGTTGATTGGGATGAACCAGAGGTTACTCGTGGTGACGTTCGCGGAACTTCGCAGTATGAATCGGCTCTAGAACAATATTATTCACATTTAATGTGGACGGAAAAAGATTTTGCGTCAATTAGGTACTTGTGAGAAGTTAACTGATCCGTCATTGTAATTCCTCTCTACTGTGAGAACAGGATATCCGGCATTTTCGGTCCACGTCTCCATGATTTCTGCTACCGTTAAGTCATCGGCAATCCTATATCCACTTGCATCAACAGCGGCCTGTATGCCGTTGTACAAATCCGAGGGCTGTGCGTTTCCGAACGACCTATAGAAAATATTTTACGAATTCAAAACGTCCAGACGACCTTAAAGTGATTTACTACTTGTTATTTGAAATTCTAAATTGGTACGGTTAGTGATATCTAAGACAAATAGAAATTATTTCGCATTTTGTCTAAAAGTTTGAGAGTTTCACCAACGCGATAGACAATTCGTGGTGGTCGGGAAGAGACAGATGATTTGGACGAAATGTGTGCTGGGACAAATAGTAGGACAAGTGGAAAAACGAATCGCTACAAAATTTTTACTTCAATTTTTACGAGTAGATTGTAATGTACTTGTCCAATTTGAAAACGTGCCCGTAAAACTTCAAAGAAAAATTTTGTCCGGTTTTCAAATTTCAATTTTGTTGCGATTCGTTTTTCCACTTGTCCGTTGCCATTCGTTTTTCCACTTGTTCGTTGAAGTTTCACTTGTATTATGTGTCTCACCCCCCAGATTTACTGCAAATTATGATTTGGTTTTTACACAGACCGCAAATAGAGGCATTGATGCCCAGCCACGTGGAGAGCAGAGGTAAGAAAACAAAAGCTGAGCACAGCACACGCCGCCAGGACTCTAGCGGACTCCCCGTTCTCCGCGCGGCTGCGCATTATATCCATCTAATACAGCCAATCGATACAAACTCGGTATCCCTTCCACGCGGCCGTAACGCTTTTTCGTGACAGAAAACTATAGAGTTACTTCAAAAAGTGAAAGAAGTGCTACTGTTCTAAATTTTGCATAAATGGTCATGAAAATCTTGGTCTAGCGCAGAAGAACCAAGGACTAGGGTAGAAGTTTATAGTTTAAAAATTTATAGATAACCTGACATATAGGAGGATCTAAGAATCTTGTCTACATTAAAAATTACCACAATTACTTGTTTTTAAAAATTACTTGTGATTATTATAAATAATTGTAGGTACTCACTTGTTGTTTAAGTATATGTTCAGACCATTCATGAAGTTGTCGTAAGTAACAATTGTCTCAAGTTGGTGTATGACTGCACCAGCTGAAGTTATAAATAAGTAATTAAAAGAGCTATCATTTTTGGAATACGCTTATTTCATCAACTTACCTTTGTCGTAAGCCACTCTGTCAAATAGACCAGATATTGCTGTTGGAGTTTGGGCATCCTGGTTCATGTGTCTGGTTGTTGCGGAACTGTCGGAGATCATAGCATATTGTGAAGACTTAATGATAAATTGTTCCATCATTTCCCAAGTTGGTTCCATCTGTAAATAAAATACTTCTATTCGTACTAGTTAATACTAGCTATTGATCAAAATTTACCACTTCTACGGTTTTAAACTCGAAATAAGTGGCAAATCCTTCATTCAACCAGATGTAGCTCCACCACAAGGGACTGACGAGATCTCCAAACCATTGATGGCTGAATTCGTGACTTACGATCGTATTCATGTACTGTTTGTAAGTAATTGTTGTTGCATTGCCATAATAAAAGAGATACGCCTCTCTGAAAACAAAAACAGTTTGTTGCATGTTGGAAAAATAACGGAACACATTGCTCAGAATGTTCATAAGGATCTGTTATTGTAAACCCATTATAAGGGGATCAAATTAATTATAATGTTATTATTTAAGGCACAACGTAATAACTCTGTTTCTTGATATAAATAAATAGTATATCACTTCATACAAATGTCATATTATGTTTGTACCAAAAAGAAGGATTTTAACGTAAATATCTTGGTAGTTTCATTAATTTTTGTATGATACGTTTTAAACTCAAAATAATTGTACAAACAATTGGGACATGTTACCTGTATGTTACCAATCCCCAATCTTCCATAGCACCAGATGTGAAGTATCCTTCTGGAACAGCTAATTGATCCATTTTTGGCAACGCAAATGGAATGCCTGTAAGTTCTTCCAAAGTCCTTAACGAGTTGTTTCCTACATTTAAACAATATTCGGCCTTTCCGCTATTAATTTCCGAGGGCCTTCCTATGATTCTATGACGTTCCAGTTGTTCGGTGTAAGCAAGTTTAGAAACAACCCACGACACCAAATAAGTTGACATGCGAACAGTTTGGTTGAATGTGTCCAAAATGAAACCATTAGCTAGAGGACTACACCAGAAATAAGCTTACATCATTTTTAATGTCTTTTGTGGTATGTGTTTAGGTATTTAGAGTCAGGAAGACAATAATAACTTTATATTTGGACGAGTTGTACGTACGAGTCACAGTGGGATTGACTTAATTAACGAAATTGTCTTTTTTTAGAAATTGTGAGAGATTAAAAGGGAACTTTAGGGTTCTATAATAACATAAAAATTATTTATTAACTAAAGTAGAAGGGTCCTTATTATGATATAAATCCACAAATATTTTTTTTATGTACCCGGGTCAGTTTGTCTGAGGCAGGGCTTAGAACTTACATGCTTGAAACTAATGGTGTGTTGGAAGTTGATCTATAATCTGGTCGTCTTTGAATATTAACAGTGAAAACAGCTTTCATAGCTGGTTCGTCAAAACATGGGAAAGCTCTTCGTGCATGCACGGGTTCAAATTTTGTCATGGCGAATTTCCTGTAGGAACATTGTTACTAGATTAGAAGTCTAATTGATATTGCATTTATACAAGTACAATGCCAAAACATGACTTTTCGGTAAAAACCTTTGAGATATTACGCAGAATTGCATTCGATTTTTTACTTACTGTTCCACACCATCTTCATCTGTATATCGACCCAAATAGAATCCGTTATTCGCTTCAATATTCAATTGTGACTGGAAATTTCTAATATCAAGGGTACATGTGCTACCAGCAGTTAGTGTTTGGTTGAGATAAATGTTATAAAAGTATTGATCTACAATCTCGGATGAATTGGTGCCTGTAATTCTGTAAGAATTTGTTCCACAGTCCACATACAGATCAGTTTCATCAATATCTATATTCCTCTTGTGGATAACGATGACATTCGTATCAGTTACAACATTGAATGTTATGAGCACGCTGCCAGTGTAGTTGTCGGTTTCAAAATTTGGAGAAAATTCAAGAACGTATGATTCAGGGGATAGGTTTCCTGGTAGACGATAGCTTGTACCTTCATCAGCGCGACTCTCTCTTTGGGATTCCAATAAGTCCGGAACGTCGGGGAAATCCAGTTCTCTGTCGTAGCTCTCAAAAAAAGGAGGAGATGCTCCCCCAAGGGAGAGATGCAGAACGAATAACAGCAATGGAATCCACATCTAAAGGGGTAAAACTGTTCTGAGACATGAACGGGTAGTTAATTACATATTAGAGGCAGAAACAAGAGAAAAGGGATAAGAAGATGGACTCAGATTAGATTATTGTTAGCTCACAGGTTTGGCTTTCGGGAATTCGTTTACGTTTTTGTAAATTTTTGATCTCTATGACATAATCCACAAAAAAGGTGTGGTACTTTCACCCCCTACATCTACCCGTAGTGGCCCGTATGTATATTTAGAAATGAAACCGCCTCTCCCCTACCCCCGTATTATCTGAACAGGTTCCTGTACAATTTATCCTTATTCGGGACAATGTAGTTTGACGAATGGTACACGAAAAATTTGAAAAATGTTTTCCGAATATTTGGTACAGGACTTGAGTCATTTTTGAATTTTACGTTATTTAAAAAAAAATCTTAAGAAGATGTTAAACATTTAAATATTTGGTACAACTAGTTATATGTACTCATTATCGGTTAAATAGCGAATACACAATAGGTAAGACGAGGACAAGTGGATGGTAAAATAGTGAAGAACTTCCTCCATCAGCAGGACCAGGTGTAGTAGAACCAGGGGCCGGAGTTGTAGTAATAGGAGTTACAGGAGTACTAGGANTAACGCAGGGTGGAGTCGCCTTTAACAAAAAGAAAGTCACTTCCACGTTCTCGAAGGATTAATAAGTCAGGATATAAAGCAGAGGATAACGCAGGATCTAGTCGCCTTTAACAAAAAGAAAGTTACTTCCACGTTCTCGAAGGGTTAATTTAGAAATTTGGAAAAGATTGCTAAAGGTGTGTTCGGAGCGCGGTGCTGTACGGGTGCGAAACATAGACGGTAGGCGCAGGGGAAAAGAAAAGGTTAGAAATGTGGTGATACATCCGAATGATTAGAATATCGTGGATGAAAAAGGTTAGAAATGAAGAGGTTTTAGAAAGAATTGCAGAATAGTGAGAATAGTCAAGATAAATTGGTAGGACAACTTCTCATACATGAAGAAATAGTAAGAGACATTAGAGATTGAAACAGGAGTTAAGGGGACTAGTGTTATTACAGTTTTTAGTTCAGTTTGATTTAAAAATTTATTCAGATTAATGAATGCTAATAAAATTATTTATTAGAAATTTTAATTAAGTATATTAATTAATTAAAAAAAAAAATAAAGAAGTAGAGCTTACCTGGACAACTTTAATTAGCCAACTAGTTTCTAGACGAGTGACGGTACTATAAAAGTTACATTTATCTGTCTTATCATACCATTTTCTTTGATGATGGATTGTTATAAAAATGCTTAATCTTTTATTGATGACAATGCAAAGTACAGGAAAAATGTTATCAGTAAATAAATATTTAAAAATAAAATACGCATAAGTAAGTGTGCAATATAATTTTATTGCACATTATTAATA